CAGGTCTTTGGATAGCCTTTATCAGAGTTAAAATTAACCCCCTAGAAGACACCCCTAACCTACCCAGAGAGAGTTTTTGTTTGTTGGTTTGGGGTTTTATTTGGTTGGAGGGAGGGGAGTGTTTATTTTCTAGCAAGTTACAAAGATGGTACCATCTGCAATTCATTGTCAATCAAATAGGACTTTAGAAGAGCCTGATGCCTTAGGCTTCCTCTGATGTGAGTTTCTTTTCTCTATTTGCTGACTCGTATAAGAAGAGAAGGGCCAGCTACATTTATGTGCTTTTCAGCTTGTTTTTGACCCTGATTCTCAGATGAATTTATTGTGTTTCATGGAGGAACAGCCAGATTCCCTGGAGATACAGCAGGAGAAGTGTCTGCCCCTTTGCCTTTGGATGGAAGGTCCAGAGCCTGCCATGGCTCAGAGACCAAAAAGAGTGGGCTGGGAAATACGCAGTCAATGAGGCAGCTTCTCTAAGGAAAATAAAGACTATTCATTCCTTTGTCCTGGACTTGTTGGCTGATGCAGAGTGCAGACAGTACTCATGAATAATTTACATGTGGTGTTGACTTTTTTCCTGAGTCAAGCAAGCCTTACAGAAAAGTTAGGCAAACAAAGGGGCATGCAGTGCCCTTTACCTGCCCACGGGCATTGCAGGCACCATTTTCTATCAAGTCTCATAAACTGTATTAAGGGGAAATTCAGCCATCATTGACATTTCCACCCCAAACTTGTAAAGCGAGCACAAATTTGATTTGTTTTTGACAAAGTATAGAATGTATCTAAAATATGTTGAGTGAAGAAAACTTTACAAAAGGACACTGTTCAAATTTTGGTTCCTTCTTGCCATGTTTTATTTGAACACACAGCTCATTTTAGCACATACTTCTCAACTTAAGAGTCTGACCACTTTGTATCTTATGCAATTCTTGGCATGCTGGGTGCATGGTAATAGAGTTTACTCCTAAAGCTCCAAGTATTTACTGTGGTATTTCGTGATATTGTTTTCCAGACATGGAACTGGCTCACAGATAGTAAGCTTTTGCCCCACAGAGGCTCAATCCCAAACCTGACATATTGTCTTGTACTTATATGCTTATGTATCACGTTAACTTTTAAAGTAAATTACTTTTGATATTTCCTCACGTTGAGAGAAAAATCTCTACCAAATCTGACTTTTTTTTTTTTTTTTAATTCATAATTTCGGATGATTAGTAATCTTGTTCCACTGTAAGACCTGTTAAGATAGTCTTTGGGCATAGTTGTTGGATCTCTGTGTGTATACTGTACTCTACCGTCATCTGACTCTGGTTTCTTAAGGCTGTCTGAGAGACTCCAGGTACCCATGTAACTTGAAGTTAGCTGAGCATAGCTTCGTTTGGGGAGCCCATGGTGAGGTTGCCTCTGGTGAGCATTGCTTCCTTGTCTGAGAATTCATAAATCATCTGTTTCCAAATCAATTTGTGTATTGGGCCAGTGATGGACATTACACTCTTGAGTCATTGCTCTCTGATACCTACCTCTTCCCCTTTTTGAAAATTGTAGCAGCATCTGTCTGATACCCATATCCAAGACCTCTCTTACTCTTCAGTATTTCTCATCAGCAGACTTTTGGAGTCCCTGAATGTCTTTCATTTGAGCTGGATCCTTATCATTGCCTCATCTATGTTGAAATTCAGTTCCATATTTATGTTTATTCTACCTATTCTAATGAGAAAAGTAGTCTTTTTTTTTAATTGTAGTAAGTATATAGGAGGAGTCCCTGGGTGGCTGGAACAATTAAGCTCTCAGCTACTGGCTGAAAGGTTGGCAATTCAAACCTACCCAGGGTGCCTCGGGAGACAGGCCTGGTGATCTACTTCCAAAAGGTCACAGCCTTGAAAACCCGATGGAGCAATTCTACTC